ATATTAGTCGATGATAATGATATTTAAATAATATGGATGGATAGTATACAGTGGTGTTCAACCTAGACATGAGGGATACTAATCTCCGGTCTCCGGTCTTCGACGGTCTCCAGTCTTCAAAGACCGTCGAAGACCGTCAATTGTAGGAGACCGTCGAAGGTGTCGGCCTGGTGAATTTTCGTATTCTTTGTTCTATAGTAAATCAGTCACATTTGAGGCTTAATTCTGGATTCCACTGTTCTTGATGAATTATATACTGTCTTCAACTTTAAACATCGACACTATCTGAGTCAAATGAGGCCCAAAATATAATAGGTTAGCCATCTCCTTTTTTCAGAATTCTTCATTCTGTTGTAACACAGTTTAAATTCACCACTTTAAAAACTCTTGACTGCTGGTGGGTGGTACATCTTTAATCCTTCCGCCAACAAATGAGTTCCTGGAGAATACACAAAAAACAACTTTTAAACTCATGATATAGCACACAAAAACTACACACATGCAATAAATACACTTTAATTAAGACCAATCTAACTAGAGATGACTTAAATTGGGCCACTTCAAAATTTTAAAGAACTACTTTCTACAACGGGCTGGGTCTTATTCCGTACCGGGTTGAGACCCGAATAGTAGGTTATTACACAAATCGACGGTCTCCAGATAATATACGTAATTAAATTTGAAAGACAAAATGACAAATAGGCAATAACACTTTTATTTTCAGTGATTAATGTCAATAGTTTAGAATGATTAACGGGTATTTTTAATGCAAAAAATACAGTAATAGTGAAAAAAAAGGAAATGTTTTAATGATTATTAATATATTAATAGAATTTAGATGTTGTGTTAGTTCAGTTGTAATTGAACAATGATCAATTAATTGTCTTAATGAAATAAATACATTTTTGACTTAATATACGTAAAGATATTTACAACAAAAGACCGTCGACGATAGAACCGTCGATTAATAGGTTATTATACGAGATTTATTACATAATTGGAATAGGTAGATACGCATTTTTTTTAAAAAATAAAATAATCGTTAACTTAAAAATGTTTTTGTTTTTCTACGTGGAAAATCGAATAATTTAATCTAGATTGTTGAGAGCGTTCAGTTATTACATTTCGCAAAAGGGTAGATGTGAATGAAATAAATAACGGATTTGACTGTTTGCGAAATATAATATCCAGGCCACACCATGGGAAAGAACTCTCTCGTGGCCCAGCCTAACTTTATTAAAAGAAAAAAAAAGTGAGATAATGTATTTAAAAAAAATCACATGAAAAGTTAGAAAAGTAACAATAAAATAATAAAAGAAATTTATTAGAATGGAAAAAAAATCGTCAATTTCTGTCTGGAAATAAAAAATTTAAAACATAAAAAGCTATTACTATAGGGGCCTTCCTTTTCCTGAATGAAAAGAAAGCGATGTTTAAAATAATTAAACTTGTTGAATTGACAAATGAAAAAGGCAAAAATAATGATTTAGGAAATATACAAAATGCATTTATATACAAACAAGAAATATACTTAAAGGCAAAGCTAATGTGAAAAAAAAAGACATTGCGCCGCCTGTCAATCAAGCTGGCAGGGGTCATAGTGATAAGCTAATCAGCGATCGTTATCAATTTCACACTAAGATGCCTGCGAAGTCCACCAATTTCCTTAGAAAAACTACTTGTCTAACATTATGGTGCAGAAGTAATTTAGACTGAAATTATCTTAATTTTCTGTCCATTTCAAGCTATTAATCGGTATATTAATAAAGGTGCCAAATATAATGGTAGATCGAGTAAATTAGTTTATTATACAAAAGTCAATAATTATCTACAAATGGAAATAATAAGTTCTGTAGCAGGTACGAAACATTTATCCTGGCTATAACACAATGCATTGAAAAAGGAAAAAGGTTAAAACAAATCCACCTTTTATCATTACCGTTCTATCTGTTCATAATCACTTTAAATATTATATATAAGGTCCCAGAATATCCAGAAGTTATGACATTTTTTCGTTTATAACGTATAGCGTCAATTAAATGGTTAAGGTCGCTGACTTGAGATCACAGGTCCCTCACCGCTGTAGGTTCGATCCTCACTCGGGTCTAAATCTTTCATGTGAGGAAGCCATCTAGCTGGCTTACGGAAGGTCGGTGGTTCTACCTAGGTGCCCGCTCGTGCCTGAAATAATGCCCGGAGGGGCGCCTGGGGTCTTCTCTCCCCATTGACGGTCTTTAGAATATACACAAATGAGCATAAACTCACAAATGTATGTATATATATTCAAAAGCTAAGACATCGAGATTATACTACTATACTACTTATTACTAATAATAATATAAATATAAAATATTAGACATTGGTATTTATTAATAAATATAATAGAATTTTTATATTTCAATATATTTTATTGTCAATTCGTTTATCTAATTTTCTGCATAACAATATCCTATTTCCTCATTTTTTTTCTTTTCCCTTTTTATCTATTCATTTCATTCCCCATTAATATCATTAAATATTAACATAAATAAAGTATCGTCGTAAAAGAAAAATGTTAATTGACCGATTATAAATAATTTCTAAATTAGTCTTTTCAATTCATCGCGAGACCGTCGATTTGTGTAATAACCTATGTAAGAAACTATGGCAGAATATCAAATCCCTTGGGTACAGTAACAATAAAAAAGAAAGTCCGAATATTGTTTTGTCGATTGATGGTGAAACTTATCACGATCCTTGTAGAGTTGCAAGTCATTTTAATAACTTCTTTACAAATATTGCATCTAATTTAGTACAGAAACTCCCGGCAGCAAAGAACTTTTATAGTGTGGCATCCGATACAATTAAGAATTTTTATAGGAACATATCACAAAAAGAGTTTCACCTTCATCATGTAAGTGAGGAGTTTGTATATAAAGAATTATGTAGTCTTAATATAAGCAAAAGCACTGGATTAGATGGTATCCCTGCAAAATTTCTTAAAGATGGTGCTGATGTGTTAAAAATCCCTATAACTTATATTGTGAATTCTTCAATAACAGAGGGGGCTGTCCCAGATGATATGAAAATTGCTAAAGTAAAACCTCTACACAAAAAGAATAGTAAGCTAGATGTCGGGAATTACAGACCAGTTAGTATTTTATGTATTGTATCCAACATTCTAGAACGGGCCGTGTATGTACAATTTGAGTCATTTTTAAGAACTAATAATCTAATTTACGAACACCAGTCCGGGTTTCGGAAATCTCATTCAACTGACACATGTCTTATTTACCTACTTGACTATATCCGTACAAATAGCTCCAAAGGGTTACTCACTGGTATGGTTATGATGGACTTACAAAAAGCTTTTGATACCGTCAATCATGATATTTTGTGTGATAAATTAGATATATTAGGTGTCAAATCTATTTCTTGGTTTAAATCATACTTGTCAGGTAGGTATCAGAAAGTAAGTATTGGTAAAGTTTTTTCTGACTCAATTCCTATTACGTGTGGGGTCCCTCAGGGCAGTATTTTGGGTCCTCTTCTATTTCTCTGCTACGTTAATGACATGGTAACAAGTATCGATTCTGATTGCAAGTTAATTTTATATGCAGATGATAGCACAATATTATTTTCGCATAAGGATCCAAAAATTATAGCCCAAAAACTTGGAAAGGTATTGGAACGATGCTCAGATTGGTTAGTTGATAATAAATTATCTCTACACCTGGGCAAGACTGAATGTATGCTATTTGGTTCTAAATCGAAAATTAATAAATTACAAAATTTTTCCATTTCATGTAATGATCAAACAATAAAGTCTTCGTCTGAAGTTAAATATCTTGGTTTGAATATCGATTGTTACCTATCAGGAGATAAAATTGTCAAGAGCATTCTTTCAAAGGTGAATGGAAGATTACATTTTCTATACCGTTACAAAAATTGTTTATCGGAAGAAATAAAGAAACAGTTATGTCCTGCCCTTTTGCTGTGTCACTTTGATTATTCTTCATCTTCTTGGTACGAAGGACTGAGTAAGTCACTGAAGCGCAAACTTCAAGTAGCTCAAAATAAGGTTGTGCGCTTTATAAAAGACTACACTCCTAGGACTTCAGTGACAAATAAGGTTCTGTCCGATCTTAAATTATTAAATGTCAATGATAGAGTTAGACAGTTAAGACTCAACCACATTCATAAAGTCTATTACAACAAAAGCCCTTCTTATTTAAAGGAATTGTTTAAGGTTTGTAGAATATCCAATTTAAGATCCAGTAATTTTAATTTTGTTTTACCTCAAAATGATTCTTATGTTAAAAATACATTTTTCTACAATGCCATTAAAGACTGGAATTCTTTACCAGACAACATTAGATCAATTGACAATATCCAAACATTTAAAACGAAAGTAAAACTTTTTTTTAAGTAATGAAAATGATAAACAAGTGAATAATATGTTTATTTATTATTAAATTGATGTGTAACTTATGATAAGGTTTTGAAAATGTGTATGTGTACTTGATATGTTTTAGTTTAAAAGAAATTTATTTCATTTTGTTTGTGTACAATGTACTTGTCTTATTATATTGAAAAATGTGTTTTGATTATTGAAAATTGTCATTAAGTTTAACTTCTTTATAACTCATTTATTATTATGTAAGTCAGTGTAATAATTTTACAGAAAATGGACCCCATTGGAAATAAGCTTTTAGCTTAATGGGCAATCCTAGGGTTACATAGAACATACTTATTAATTAATCTTATAGTTATTTTTGTGCATTTATGTGTGTGTTTTTATATATAAGCAAGTTGACATCTGTGATAAAATTGTATGTGTATACATGCATGTCTATTCCCTGAATAAATCGATACGAACCTACTAATCGACGACGGTCTTCGACGGTCTTTGGAGACCGTCAGAGACCGTCGATTTTGCGGAGACCGTCGATTAGTAACCCCCCCCCCACAGACATGTGATCATGACGTATTGTTACTCATGTCTAAAAATAGTACGTCATTTCATCAGTTCATTTCACCATGATCTTACCTTCGGATAAAAATATGGCTCTCATAATGTATATAAATATATATTTAATTATTTCATTTCTTGTTATTTTTCCTACAGCTGTTACTAAGCCACTGAAAGGTGAGTCATTATTTTTTTTCCATACTGTACAGTAAGCTGTATTTTGCGCGGTCGGGAATGTGACGAAATATAGAATTTTAAAATTCATGCGGTATGAATATAGCTTGTAGTATGTCAAGTTAAAAGTACGGTCCTAAACAGACATTATTAAGTAAAAAATAATATTTGTAACCATTAGGTAACTTTCGTTTCTTTTTGTATTATCTTAAACACATTTATTAAAAAGTAAAAAGAAGAAGTTTATATATAGAACAGGTTTATATCCTATAAATAGCATGCCACAGCGTACTTTCCATTTTCTAAAAATAGCCTTGTTATGTACTGTAATTCAAATTCACCGTGCCTGGCTTCTTATTTGGTGACAATGACACAAAATTAATCACATATATATGTTTCACGTCTTTATACTTTCTCAAACTAGTCTGCAATTTTCATGCTTGGTCTCGGATCCGTTTATATCATCCCGTCGTTGATTTGCATATACTTTTATTTTATTTGGAATACCACTAGAATTCTATAAAATTTCGAAATTACGCATAACGCAAAAATGTACACAAATGCACATGCAAAATTGGGAAAACCGTTTTGTTACTATTTATAATTTATAAAATAATTTATTTTCACAGATATTTTAGGGTGTGGCCCTCCAGCAGTGTTAAAATACAAATAAATTGTATATTTGTCAATCCAAGCATATACTCAACATCACTAATTCTGCGTCATCACTTATTTCACGGTAATGGCATATTTTCATGTGACCAGATTGTTAAAATTGGTCAGAATTGACATATTTTATTCATACACCTAAACAACAAAGTTTTTGTGCAAAATATTTTAAATCTCTAGATTTTTACGTAAAACAGAGCAACATTTTCCAAATTTCTGCAAAAAGCAACGATAGTCCATTAAATTGATAGTCCATTAAATTTGTGCGTACGTCTGAAACAATCATCATTTTTTAAATGTTCTTGTTTGTTGAAAAAAATTAATTTTGACTTGCAAAGTGAGAATAGTTTAAATATATTTAAAATCACGCAAAATATATGAGAAATTTTAACTAAAACAAAAAAAAATGAAATGTAACACCATTACCGCGATTTAAATGATGACACAGTGTTTTCCGATGGCTGACATAAGGTCTACGTACGTTTGGTCCATAAAATTGACTTTGACTGAATATAGGCCCATTGTTGTTTCCTTGTGCCATACAGCAGAAAATACCTAAATACTATAGCATATGACAGTTTTTGTACCATAAGTTTCATTTGTTGTATTCTTTCTGGTTTCAAAGTGTTAAGTTAACCGTGAACAAAGAGGAGCACAGTATACTTGTAATTCTATAACACTGATTTTAAAGCAGCGCCCCTCCAGTTTCAAGTCAAAATATATTGACATGCCAAAGCTTGATTCTGAGATATTTTTGTTCTGGGGCAGAATCTCGCCTTTTCTCGTAGAGGCGAGATATTGCCAAAACACGAAAATAGCACAATATCTAAAATAGCACAATATCTCGTCGCGCAGGTAACAATTAATTGGACTACACCAGATTCATGCTAATTTTCATGAAAATTTGAAAATGTATTTAACAGTATGATATTACATGTATATATATATAGTTATATATATAGTTAATTATATATATAGTTATATATACATAGTTATATATATAGTTATATATAAGTTATAAATACTGAACAATTCGGTCATTAATCGCACATTTTAGTCTCAATATTTCGACTGCAAGACAGACTGATTTTATAATCTTATATTTCACACTAGAGGTCTGTCCGTTTGGCGAACATCTTCTATATAATGAAAAGCCCAAAAGGGCACAATTTGTTGGTCTGTAATCGCACATAACATGTAAAATTTTACTAAAATTTTGAATCTTTATAGATCTACCTTTCCTAAAATCAAAGTACATTTTTCTCAGGTTTGATTTTATCAAAATATTTTTGCTCATCTGGAGGCGTGCAGCTTTAAGCTTTAATTAAGCCTCCAGTGTAGAGCTATTCCAGTCTGCACATTTGTGCAATCTGACGGACATAAATGTATATACTGTTGGCTGACCAACTTATTATTTTTAACATGATATAACAGGCCCGGATTCAATGGGGGGCTGGGGGGAGGCTAAAGGGCCTGAAGCCCCCGACTAAAATTTTTTTCTCTATCAAAGGTGGCATATTGAGGGTAAATATCGGCAAAAACTGGCTTAAGATAAGTGGAAGTCAATTAATCCTTGTATATATTGGGGCCTGGACTCCTGCTGAGTTTCCTTTCAGTCAAAACACTGTATAATTATGCCTCACATGACATTTTTGACTCCAGGTCATGCAGACACTTTTCAATGATTACTTTGGTCAGTGAAGAGGGACATAAAGCATCTACATAATGCACAGTGAATAAGAACTTTTTAATTATTGGATCAAAATATATGTATACTATGATATCATAGTATTTACCATTTTTGTGACTGCTAGTAAAAGCAACACACGCTGATGCTAATATTTTTAAAACAGGCACACTAAATTCATTTTCATCTGCCAATAAATTTAATTTTGTGAATAATGTATTCGTGGCAAGAAAACTAATTAATAAAATCTTCATATTTGACTACTATTTGCCTTAATTGGTTTTACAATCACATATACTAATATGTTAAAATCACATATACTGATAAATGTCAGTATATGTGATTCTAACATATTCTAATTAACTGTGTAAAACAGTTTTGGAAAAATTTCACTTTATAATTAAATAGAAGAAAAATCTAATTTATGTATGATAATGAATCAGGGTCAACTTGGCCCTAAAACGTATTCAGCCCAGTCAACTCAGCCCTATTCCAACTTGGTACTGGTCAACTCGGCCCACTTTTCAAATTATTAATATATTGGTTGTTTAATTGACACTCTTTATTGTCGGAACCTCATACATAATTTATATATGGACTTTAAATAATTCACAAACATGAAAAGATGATTTCTTAAATTTTAAGAAATATTACAATTTTGTAATTGAAATTAGGAAAAGAACATTAATTAAAGGACTGCTATAATATCACCAATCAATTATCATGTGTACATGTATGTTAAGGGTACTGATTATTCAGGTGATAATTATGATTGACGGTATCATTCAAATTTGATTAATGACCACCTTCAACTAATTTGAAGCTTTTATTTCATATTTATTGAAGATTCAACTTTATGAACAAAAAGCATCAAAGGAGATTCATTTGTATTATTTCTAAAATCACAGTTTTACCCTAGAAATCTGTAAATATCAAATTGATTTTCTTTGACTTTTGCCAAATATGTAATAAACATTGTTGATGCATTTCTGTAATTCCAGGATGTGATCCTGAACCTGTAGATGCGTTATTCTTTATCCATGGAACCAGCATGGCCGGGAACCAAAGAAACGTCACAGAACAGTTAGTGAGAGATATAACATCAAGTCTACACAAAGATTCTAAAAAAAACTTCTATTTACTGACAGACACTGCAAAAGAACTTGTTGTAGATAGCAACTTGAGTGAAGATACTGTCATCAATAAAATCTTTGCAGAAGATATAAAATCTGTCACTGAATCAACAACAATATCTTCTGAAGCCATAAACAATGTTTTAGCTTCTACATTTTCAGTAAACCAGTATAAAAATAGGGCAGAATTTGTTATTTTACTGGTGACAAATCAAACAGAATTAGATGCAGTGTCACCTTTTCTTGAAAAGAAAAAGACAGTGGTTGTGGTACTTGGTTCGTCTATTCCAAATATATTCAAGTCTGTGGCGAGTTACAGAGAGGACTATCTCTACCAAGTTGGAAGTTTTGAAGATCTTGAAATGGTTATAGGGAAGATAAAAGAGCGTATTGCCTGTGGTAAGTTTTGTTTTGTCCTTCAATTATTCCTTTCTGTCTAATGTTAAACTATTCACACCCATGCCTCCATATTTCAGGACTGATGGAATAATTCTCTTTATTATTTATTAAAAAGAAACCCAAGTAACATTGTAGAGTAAAATTAATTTCATAAAGTTTGCTCAGTTGACAGATGTTTACAAGTAACTTTAATATTTAGTATTTAGGAAAATGCTTAATGTTATATTTGGTCAGTAGAAGTAGACTAGACTAACCTTGACTTAAAGTCATAAATGACTTTGACCTTCAAAGTCATATTTCTAAATAATGTGCTTGCTTTTTTTTAATTAATAGTGACAAGATCATATATTATTTAGTGGTTTTTTTTAATGGATTGTCTTCAAACTCTTAGATGGAGTATGCTATGTATTTGATGAATAAATTTTAGACACTAAAATAAGGAGAATATATGGGATATATTAATATGAACTCTTGATAATAAAAACCAGGCTATATGAGTTGTTTTACCTGCATATATTGATACTGACTTTTTAGATTCCAGAAATAAACAGGTGGCTTACAGATAATAAGATTGAGTCAAATAATGTTTTCTATTGGAACATTACATGGTACAAAGCTGAAAGTGCATTCGTTATATTTTTAAGGGTGTAAAATAAATGATATATTATTAATCTGTTCTACTTATTTTTTTCATTTCAGATTCAAACAAATACTGTGATACTGATACGTATAGTACGAAGAAAGGGAGCAGGTGTAAAAGTTGTGAAGGGCCCTGTGAACAAAAAACAGATATCTGCACCAAGTATTGTCTGTGTAAGTTGAAAATCAATATAATATTATGTATGTTTCAGAATCTGGATAGCACACTTGTTTGATTCCCAAAATTAAGTAATCTGAGGGTCCCCAAGCCCTGAGATGATAAAGAAATTCTCTAAGCTCAAACTCAGTTCTCAGGACAAAGTTTTACAACCTCGAGGCCAGGTTTAATGAGTCAGCAAGATATTGAGAACTTTAATACACCCTATTAGGATTTTCTTTTAATCTTCATTTCGTCCATTTGTCCTCACATTAAATTCTTTAAAACAATACAAGCCCCAAACAGTGATTTTAACTGTCAGGTTAGCTTAATAGGTAGAGCACTGGACATAAATTGAGTGACCCAGGTTCGATTTTTGGATGGCACATGTCAGTTTTCTTGTGATTAATCAAGAAAAATACTTTCTACAGTCATTCACACTGTACCTCTTCTCTGGCATGTACAGAAGTTATCAGGTCCTTGCAAAAGCGAATTAAGGCCAGTAGTACTGGTAAACTGCTTGACAACATGCCCAGGAATGATGTGGTGGCTGAACTGTGCTCTGGTGAATTCAAAGCTGCCAGAGGGTAATCCAAGAATGATTGCCCTAATGTCTACTGAACATGCATGCATAATGACAGAGATGGACAAAAGCTTAATTTTAACTTTACTGTTATTTCCCATCACAACAATGGGGTTGGCTGAGTTTATTACTGACAGGACTAAATGCATTAATTTTGCTTATAACTTTGTTGTTGTTATTGTTGTTTGAACTTCAAAAAGTGCAATTATAAAGGTATACATTATAAACAAATAGTACTTTTTTCAGTTGAAAGACCAAAGCCTGACTTAGGAAACAATACAAAATCAGACTTTGTATACAATAAAAGTGAACCAAATACTATGACAACCATTGCAAGACAAGGAGCAAAAAAAGACAATAAAGATTTGGCCGTTACTGCCATTTTGATAGTGTTTGCAGCAGTCTGTTTGCTGGCTCTGGGCATAGGTATTGTACGTTACTGCTGGGGGAGGTCATCTCGACAGCTAACACCAGGCAGCTCAGATGAAACCATTCGAAAAACACCTGCAAGTAGTGAGACACATAGTTTAGATAAGTTTCCAGTACAAGCTATGGTTAGTTATAAAATCATCACAGTCATTTTCTTATATCTTTGTTTATATTTTTTATGTATAAAATCTTGATGCTTTATTTGAAAATAATGTTATTACCAGTATTTTGCCAAGCATAAATACAACCTTACATAGGTATGGTGGTTTCAGTGACGTAGTTTAAATCACTTTCATTGTGATTAATCAAGAAAATCCTTTCTACAGACATTCACACTGTACACTGTGCCCCTTCCTTATGGCATGTACAGTAGTTATCAGTTCCTTGCAAAAACCACCAAAAGTGATATTAAATATATAATAATTAAATAGAGGATATTGAATGAGTGTAAGTTCAATACTGAATTTATTGCACGAGTTGAATAAAATTATATTATGCGAGCCTCTGGCGAGCATAATATTATTTTATTCAACGAGTGCAATAAATTCAGTAATGAATGTACACAAATTTAATATTCTATTTATCACATACCCAAAATAAAGACCGTTTAAAGTGAAATAATAGTCATTTTTCATTGACGCTCCTATAGTTTAACACTAACATTTAACGCGTCTTTACACTATGTTTGTTTAACGCTAATGACGTCACGTCAAAATATATGCACGACCGTGCAATACCATATTTACGGAGTCGCAAAATCGGCACGGGTGTGTGATAAATACATATCTTACATGTAAAAAAAACCCCTACAGTTAAGATTGTTTGGGAAAGGTTTGACGTTATTAGAGGGGGTTGGGGGTAGTGACCAAAATTAACAAACTAAACACCTGTGCCACTTACAAGCCTTTTTTTGCTGGATACCAGAAACAATTTCTTTTTTATATGCCCGAAAGAATTTCGGCATATTATGTTATACCCCCTGGCGTCCCTCCGTCCGTTAGCAATTTGGTTTCCGGAGCAGAACTTCAGTTCCATTTGGCGCACAATATTCAAACTTCATAAGATGATTGTATATATTGGGTAGAAGACCTCTATTGTTTTTGGAGTCACAAGGTCAAAGGCACTATTACCTTAAAGCTGAAAACAGTTTCCGGACCATAACTTAAGTTCCATCTAGCCCACAGTGTTCAAACTTCATAGGATGATTGTCCATATTGTGTAGAAGATCCCTATTGATTTTGGGGTCACAAGGTCACAAGGTCAAGGTCACTATTACCTTAAAGCTGAAAACAGTTTTCGGAGCATAACTTAAGTTTCATTTTTGGCCCACAGTGTTCAAACTTCATAGGATGATTGTCCATATTGGGTAGAAGACTCCTATTGATTTTGGGGTAACAAGGTCAAAGGTCAAGGTCACCATTACCTTTAAACTGAAAACAGTTTGTGGAGCATAACTTAAGTTCCATTTGGTTTACAGTGTTCAAACTTCATAGGATGATTGTCCATATTGCTTAGAAGACCCCTAATGATTTTGGGGTTGCAAGGTCAAGGTCACTATCACCTTAAAACTGAAAACATTTTTTGGAGCATAACTTAAGTTCCATTTGGCCCAAAATATTCAAACTTCATAGGATAATTGTCCATATTGGGTGGAAGACCCCTATTGGTTTTGAGGTGACAAGGTCAAAGGTCAAGGTCACTATTACCATAAAACTGAAAACAGTTTCCAGAACATAACTTAAGTTCCATTTGGCCCACAGTGTTCAAACTTCATAGGATGATTGTCCATATAAGGTAGAAGACCCCTATTGATTTTGGGGTCATGAGGTCAAAGGTCAAGGTTATTATTACTTTAAAACTGAAAACAGTTTCCATATTCTAACTTAAGTTCCAGTTCAAACTTCATAGGATGATTGTCAACATTTGGGTAGAACACCCCTATTGATTTTGGGGCCGCGGTCACTGTTACCTTAAAACTAAAAACAGTTTCCGGAGCATACTTTAAGTTCCATTTGGCCCACAATATTCAACCTTCATAGGAGGATTGCTATTCGAAGGAGGTAATACTTTGTTTAATTCCCATGTCTTAATTACAAATGCTTCATCCTTACTAAAAAAAAACAAACACTTTCGGGCATATAATGCTCCGCTTAGCCGTGCTCTTGTTTTTGCTTATGAGCCTTCAGGAAGTCCCTTTATTAATAAATGGATTTCATGCATGTTAATGACTTATGAATAAGTCATTATAGTTTTATTGATCAATCTGGCTGTTTCCAGGGCCCTAAATAAATAATAGGGGACTGAAATAGATATAAGGGGACAGGGGCCATTGGCCTGCAGAAGGGGAATTCAACACGGTTTGAAAGATAAAGTGGAATTTTATCTATCTATTAGTAATACTCACAATGTTAGTTAAGTATTGGATATTTTATTTTACAAGAAGCAAAGTTTAATAAAGTACAGTGAAGGAATTTACTTTGTCTTCCAATAAGAAAAATAAAAATAGAATTGATTTTGGCTCCAGAAATCTTGAAATAAGGGCCAGGCTGCATGAATACTTTATGCATTAGCATTTGATTTCAGATATGATATATGCCGCGTCACGACAAAACAAACATAATGGGTTTGCGACCAGCATGGATCAAGACCAACCTGCGCATCCGCGCAGTCTGATCAGGATCCATGCTGTTCGCTATCAGTTTCTCTTCTTGTAATAGAGTTGGAAAGCGAACAGCATGGATCCTGATCAGACTGCACAGATGCGCAGGCTGGTCTGGATCCATGCTGGTCGCAAACCCATTATGTTGGTTTTGTAATGGCGCAGCTCATATATGAAAGCGTAGCAGTGATTAAAACGGAATGTTTTCAGAATGTAGAATATATGTGTATGTGACACAAACCAGTTACCTTAAAAATGAATGACACAACCTGAGTTTTATTTTAATCTCCAAGTGTCAGTTAGTAGATTCATTTACACATTTGAGTTGGGTAAAGGGGGGTTGGCTAAAAATAAAATAACTTGCAGTGTGGGGGCATTGAGCACTTAATTAACCATCTTAATGTTTTTGCAAGGTGTTTTTTTTTGTGGTTTAGGGTTTGGAGGTGAGTAATGAGTAAGGTACATTAAAAATTTGTGCATTTGCAATTGAGTGGTGCAAAATGACTGTTTGTCATGTTCTTGTCACAGGATGAGAGTGATCCACTCATGGAAATTCATGGACAGGTAGCTGAGAATGACCAAGCTGAGGGAATGGCATCAAATGAAATTTCAGTGGACTTGAAGAATAATCAGGAATGGGATTTAAGTGAGTTATTGCCACTATGTATATGATAATTATCCCTATGGCTTCAGCTCATCTGTTTCAAAGAAAAAGTTGAGATATTATGATGGTTGTGTTGTTGTGATTGTTGTCGTTGTAGTTGTCATTGTGCAAAATTTAACAAACATTTTGATTCTATGAATGCCAAATTTGGAGTACTTGCTTATCATTGCATTCTGCAGTAGTAAGGCAAGAGGCATCATTCTGAAAGCTATATTTTTAACCAGGTTTTCAATTTTGAAAATCCTGGTTATTAGATTGGGGTATGGCGGGCGGATGGGCGGCTGGGCGGATGGGCGGGCGGGCGTCAAACGAAATCGTGTCCGCTCTGTAACTCTTCAACCCTTTGAAGAATTTTGATGAAACTTCAGACAAATGTTTACCACATCAAGATGACGTGCAGAACGCATGTTCCGCATGGCTGGCTCCAAGGTCAAGGTCACAGTGACATTAACATTGAAAATCCTGTTTACATGATTTTAACTTGATTTGGCAGTCAAAGGTCATATCATCTTTGGAGGTAATTTAAAAAAGATATGATATATTATTTCATGTCTACTTTGTAACTTGTTTTTCATTATACAGAATTATCAATATAATTATAGTGAACAAATTCTTCTGTGCTGAACTCGTCCTACATTTCTCAACGGATTTTGTTCAAACTTTCACAGAAGCTTTGTCATCAAGCACCCTGGCACATATTGTCGGGGTTTTGTGATTGGATAGTTTTTGACCTAATTATGGCCCTTTGTTTTTTTCCTTATACATAATATTATAGTGAACACTTCTTCAGTGGCAATTCCTCCTACATTATTCATGTTTTACATTGCACATAGTTACATTGTTTGTTGCTTGTATTTGTATTTCAAATACAACATATTTATCTACAATGGTGATAATTGAAAACCTGGTTTCATGGCATTGCCATGTTTCTTGTTGAAGTAATGTCTCCTTGAAACTTCAAATTTTTGTTGAAATTGTTTATGAAGTAGGATGATTACAAAACTATAAAAGGTATCGACATGGAATTTGGAACACTTGGTTATCACATGACAAGCCTTGCAAGACAAGGAGCATTATTCTGAAAGCATTGTTTGAATGAGTTATGCCCCTTAAATTTATAACTTTGAATATAAAAAAATATTGTTAAACTTTCATAAATGATAGTAATTGCCCTTAAACAGAGTAGTATTACTACTGCATGCAGTTCTTTTGTTTGCTTTTGATGTGTATGTGTTATTTAGCAATTGCAATTTACATCAGCTGGAAGCAATTATAGTTGTAAATCTAAGGAGATCATGCCTATCATGAAATGATCGTGTGTGAATACTTTTCTGTAGCAGTTTATAGATTATATAAAAATGTGGTTGAAATTATATTTTTAGGATATTTCTCCTTGTCACCAGGAGCATTTACAAGGTCCTTATTCCCAATCCATAATTACTTTTTTTCTGAATTCAGGTAAAAAAAAAAAAAAAAAAAAAAAAAAAATTTTGTCAGACATTGAATTCCTTTGACTTGTTTCCTAAAAGATTTATTGTATGATAATATAAATGAAAATAAAACATCATAAAATTTTCCATAATTTCTTAAATTTTTCCAAAATGCTGAATATTTCCCCAAAATTTTGGCCCAGGGCCTTTAAAAATCACCTCCATAAAACATGAAAAGGTCTTGAATTAAAATGTAAACAATTTTGGAAAGAAGAAAGAAAGTAAGTGAACAGCAAGGAAAACAAAAACTAATTGTTTAAAATCACAAAAAATAACTTACTTCATGATTTTTCACAGTTCACAGTGTTGATAGTTCACAGGTTTGTGTTTCTCATGTTCACAAGTCATTACAATTTTGTCAATTTAACAACTTGAGAATTGTTTCATAAATTATTATATACCCACCACCAAATGTGGGGGTGGGGGGCTATAATGGATTTGCTTTGTCGGGTCGGTCAGTAGGTCGGTCCGTCCGCCGGTCCGTCTCCATTTTCGTGTCCGCTCTATAACTCCTATACCAATTGAAAGATTTTCTTCAAACTTGGCTCAAATGTTCACCTCAACAAGGGGATGTGCAGAACCCATGTTACCCATGTGTCAGCTCAAGGTCAAGGTCACACTTGAAGGTCAAAAATTGACTTAGAAAATATTCTTAAATTTTAACATTTATTTGAATATTTCAGAATCTAGAGAAGGTATTTGCTTGAAACTTGAAATATATATGAAGTGTTACAATTAAGATATGCTGGTCAAGTTTCATAACAGTATTGCATTTTAACAAAGTTATGCCCCTTTTTAAGTCTTCAAATTTACATGCAATCAAATATTAGACAATATGTCGTGTCCGCTCTATAAATCCTATACTAATGAAAGAATTTTCTTCAAACTTAACTCAAATGTTCACCTCAACAAGGTTATGTGCAGAATCCATGTCACCTTTGTGCCGGCTAAAGGTCAAGGTCACACTTGAAGGTCAAAAATTGACTTAGAAAATGTTCTTAAATTTTAACATGTACTTGAATATTTCTGAAACTAGCACAGGCATTTGCTTGAAACTTAAAGATATATGAGGTGTCGCAAATAAGATATGCAGGTCAAGTTTCATTACTCTGTATTGCATTTTGACAAAGTTATGCCCCATTTTAAGTCTTCAAATTTACATACAGTCAATACTAGACAATATGTTGTGTCCGCTCTATAAATTCTATACTAATGGAAGGATTTTCTTCAAACTTTACTCAAATGTTCACCCCAACTGGGCGATGTGCAAAACCCATCTTACCCTTGTGCCAGATTAAGGTCAAGGCCACATTTGAAGGTCAAAAATTGACTTATAAATAAAATGTTTAGTACATTGGGAAAATGAAAGGTTATAATTTGTAACTGTTTCGAACATGATTTGATAATATATATTCATACTATTACCTGTACAATTAGTCTTTTTTTCACCAGAGATAATTTCTTTTTATGTATTTGTGTCACTTAAGTTATTCCCTTAACCACCTTTCCAAGTCGTCTTCTGTCAAGGACATTGGTGGGGGTATGAATCGCTTTCAGGGATAGTTCTAGTTTTTTCTGTTATGAATGAAGTTAATACTCATACACTGCTGTGTGAAATTTGTGCGAATTAAAAATATTAGTTTTCGTTATTTCTTTCTCAATTATGATCAATATGTAAAAAGCAAGATTAAAAAGTGTCAAACAATAGCTGTCACCCCAGTTCTTTGGTAACTGTTTTGCAGAAACTCTCCACTAAACTGTGAGTTTAACCCTTCTGCTAAATATTCTGATCTCTAGAGGCAGCTGGTGTTAGATCCTTAAATATAGCATGCTAATATTTTCTCTTTTATTTCTTCAGATGTCCATGGCGCCAGGGATCAGTATCAAGCTCTGCACTCACCAGTATAGATGCATGCAATTCTATTGCATGAAAATGATGGAGGGAAGAGCATATGCTCATAGAAATGTGTGAACTTGTTTTAATCATTTAATGATTGCACATTTCTACCATGGAGGATTCGTCCTTTGTCATGTGACCGTGTAAGGTACCTTTGTCAATGGACTTATAAAGATGATGGAAAACAGTTTATATTAAACTTGGTTTCCTTGTTACTATGATTATATGTACTATAATCATTTATACTTTGTAAAGATAATACAATCATGTATTTCAGTAGTTCCATAGTTTGTGTGAATCTGGCTGATTAGGTATATTTATGTTAAGCATTGTTAAAATATTATGTTTGATTATGAAGATACAATAGTTGTATGAAAACTTGCAATTCTGCAATTTTTTAAGTTGGTTTTTTACATTTTCATATATATTTGTGAGCATATTATATTCAGTAATAAAATACAAAAAAAAAATGAATAAAACAACAACAAAAAAAAACAAAAAAAACATTAATACAGTAAAAGAAAAAAAAAAGAGAACAAAACAATGAAAATTACAAAAAAAAATTCTCCTGTAAATAAATTTTAGATAATAGTGTAGATAATAGTTAACACTTAATTTTCACGAGCATGTTTTTACTTGATTGTTAAGACTTTCATTTTATTCTGTCTTTAAAGCAGCACACCTGCACTCCATATTTATTATTTTATTTTTAACAAAAATTGTTGAGACTGTTCTAGTTTTATACAAATTTTGTCACATGTAAAGGTGAAGTTTAGCTTACAAATACTCATTATAATGATCAAATTTGCCATATGATCAAGTACTCCACTGTTTGCTGTTCAAAGATAATTTTTTTTTCTAAATTTGATGAATGATTACAAGTCCATTAAATTTAAAGATGTATTATGCTCTAATTTTATATATGAAATTATCTTGAAAACTATTTATCACAAAGTCTTCATATTTCACATAGTGATTGCTCATAACTAGTAGATAACCCCTACCGTTTTTTATATCACTAGGTCAAAGGTCAAGGTCACAGGGGCCTTAAATGTCAGAATGTTTTCCGCTGATTATCTTGAAAAGTATTCATCACAAAGTCTTCATATTTCACATAGTGATTGGTCATAACTAGTAGATGTCCCATATTGATTTTGCTAGGTCAAAGGTCAGGCCACTGGGGTTAACATGTCAGAATGGTTTCTGCTCATTATCTTGGTTACTATTTATCACAAAGTCTTCATTTTTCACATATTGATTGGTCATAACTAGTAGATGACCCATATTTTTTGGGGTCAAAGGTCAAGGTCACAGGGGTCTTGAATGGTAGTATGATTTCCGCTCATGATCTTGGTTACTATTTATCATAAAGTCTTCATATTTCACATACCGATTTGTCATAACTAGTAAGTGAACCCTATTGATTTTGGGGTCACTAGGTCAAAGGTCACAGGGTCCTTGAATGTAAGTGTGGTTTCCGCACATTATTTTGAAAGCTATTTATCACAAAGTCTTCATATTTCTAATATTGATTGGTCATAGCTAGTACATGACCCCTATTGATTTTTGGTCACTAGTTCAAAGGCCAAGGTCACAGAGGCATTAATTGTCTGAATGGTTTCTGCTCATTATCTTGAAAACTATTTATCACAAAGTCTTCATTATTTTTCTTTTTCTCATAACTGAACACTTCCATGTACCAATTTATGGCAAGTTTTTATAACAAAATTACCAATAATTGGAGTCAATGGCTAGAGAAGGGGGGGGGGGGCATATGTGTCCTTCCACGTTTCTTGTTTTAATAGGGTCATATAAGTATGTGTTAATACTAAATTGGCTATTTTCCAGGAAATAATGAGTGAAAATACAAAGGAATCAGTCTGAATCTCTTTTATTTTGAATGCTTATAAGCAATATTTATTTACTATATTTCTTTAAACATTTTATATATATATGTTTTCTTAAAGGGACTCCACTGAGGTTTTTGGGTTAAAAATCACACACATTTATGATTTTCAATTTTATTTGGAGTATTTTTTTATTATCTTTAAATATTTTTTGCTTGAAGTGTCCCGCTTGTTTATGTAAAATTTTCAAAATTTCATGTTCTTTTTCTAGCTTTTTAACAGTAAAGTAATTTAAAAAAAAAAATTATTTTAGTCTGAAGGTGTGCTGCTTTAAAATCATCATTTTGTAATTTGCTTTTATATTAAACAGAGTATTTAGCAGATATGTGTATAATTATAAATTTAATGTGTGATGTTTGTTTGTGATGTACATATGGCTTCATGTATTGTTACTGTCTTTACTGTTGTTACAACTTAAGAGTCCACGATATTTAAGATATTTTTGTTTCAAAAACTTGATTTTGACAAATACTCAGATTTAAAGTTTAAAAATCATAGTTACTTTTTACATGAAACCAAATAAATCAAATAAATATATATATTAAAATTTACATTTTTCTTTTACAAAGTTTAAGTAAAGTTATAATTAGACATATGATTTTTACCTTAACTGAGTAATTTTTTGTGAATATTATGTCTTTTTGAATATGGAAATAAATAAGTATTGTTTTAAAAAAGTAAATACACTTCAGAGTAAGGTATCTAGTATTATTTTATAAAAGAAGTAAATACAATTAAGTAAGGTATCTGGAATGAATGATAGTTATAATTATAATATGTTTTAGTTTTATGTACATTTTTGGTAGTACGTTATTGATTTATTTATATACTAGTATATTACTGATAAGCCCATCTTCTCATAGCATTTTAAAGTTTATTGGTATGCTTATTTCTTCTTCACTTTTCTCTTTTTCTATAACTGCTATCTATATTCTTTACACATATATTAGGAATATTGGTGTTTTTTTTTATCATGTTTGTGTGTAAGTAGGAGATTCATGGGGGCTTTCAGTTTTTTTTTCCAGATGGACTTAGAATGTGTTGTGTTGATTGAAGGAGCTGTGTGTTGAGTGAAAGTACATTGTGGGGATTTCGAGTGTAATAGTTAATGTGAACGTGTAGCAAGACATTTAAGTAAAAGGGAGAAAATGATGAGTGAATGATGACGAATGAGAGGGTGTCCATCTAACAAGCAAATTTGGGATATTTGTATCAGGAATACGCTATGTTCAAGAGGCATTAATCCAAATGTAGTTCTTGACACACGTTTTTAATCAAATTTGAAATTATTCATGTATTGAGACCAATTAATATTTTCCGAATGAAAAGAGACCGCAGTCACATGCTTTACAGTAATATATTTTTCACACATAGATGTATGAGAAGTTAAAAGAAAATTGTTTGTATTTCATAAATTTCGAAGTCTTTTTTTTTTTTTGCCAGTGATCGACAACATCAATTCTAATGCAGAGAGTTTTTTTTATAGGAAGAGAAAAATATTATGGTTTACTAAAGTAAAGTAAATGCATAGCATGTAAGAAATCTTGATGCTTTGAGAACAAATATTTCTAATCTTAAAATGAGCTAGTTTGTGAATATTGGTTCTTTTATAAAGATTTCATGAATTTAATTTTTATATAAAATTTGAATTCGTGACTCCTTATATCTGAACATATTCATACTGTATTAATACATGTACAAATTTTTTTTTCAATACAAATTATTTTTTTTAGAATAAAGCTTATAATGTATTTTTTTTATAATTTTCACATTTGTTTGTTTATTAAAAAGAAATGATATGATATTAATCATATTTCACTGATTATTTAACGTTGAAAGTATTTAACTATCAGTGATAATTTTATATAATTATATTAAATATCTGAATTGCATATTTTTATAAAAAAAACAAAAACATTTGAATAAAGTTATAAAGAAATAAAAAGTAAAGAAATCAACATTAACTGGAAAGTATCAAAATAATCAGAAAAACAAGTAGAATTCTGCAATTATATAAAGCTTGTGACCCTGTTTATCTTCTTATAGAAAATTTAGATGTCTCAATACTTGGATAAGATCAAACTGTTTAACAGCATGTGTCACAAATTATGTTTTGATTTTTGCCATCTTAAATATGACTTATTCCAACTTTTTCTTGCTATGAGGGAATAGGATTCATCAGTAATAGTATGATGTGATTTAAATGCTTATATATGTATTAAAGCGTGTAATGTGTTTTTGTTTGTTTTGTATTTTTGCCAACATTCATTCTTCTGTACTGTTGTGATATAAGCTTATTGTACAAGCGTCACTGTGATATATTGATATATTGGCTGATTGTACTGATGTAATATATTGGCTTATTGTACTGGTGTAATATATTGGCTTATTGTACTGGTGTAATATATGGGCTAATTGTGCTGATGTGATAATTGTACTGGTGTGATATACATGTATGTGCTTGTTGTATGTGTGTGTTATATGGGGTTATTGTACTGGTGTGACTTATGGGCTAATTGTACTGGTGTGATGTATAGGCTTATTGTACTGTTGTGATGTATGGGCTTATTGTACTGGTGTGATATATGGGCTAATTGTACTGTTGTGATGTATGGACTGATTGTTCTGGTGTGATATATGGGCTTATTGTACTCTTGTGATGTATGGGCTTATTGTACTGGTGTGACTTATGGGCTAATTGTACTGGTGTGATGTATTGGCTAATTGCGCTGACGTGATATATGAGCTTATTGTACTGATATACATGTATGTCCTTGTGTATGTGTGTGTTATATGGGGTTATTGTACTGGTGTGATGTATAGGCTTATTGTACTGGTGTGATGTATGGGCTTATTGTACGGGTGTGTTATATGGGCTTATTGTGTTGACATGTTATATTGTACTGATGTGATATATGACCTTACTGTACTATTGTGATATATGGCATTACTGTACTATTGTGTTATATGGTTGTTCTGATGTGATTTATGGGCTTATTGTACTATTGTGATATATGGGGTTATTGTACTGTTGTGTTATATGGGCTTACTGTATTGGCGTGTTATATGGGGTTATTGTACTGATGTGATATATGTGCTTATTTTACTGGTGTGATATATGGACTTATTGTACTGATGTGATATATTGGCTTATTTTACTGGTGTGATATATTGACTTTCTGTATGGTGTGATATATTGGCCTACTGTAATAGTGTGATACATGGGATTGAGTCAGAGTATGCATACATATATGTTCAATCATTGTTGAAATAGAAAAAAATATATTTGTGTTAGTTACTGTTAATAATGATTTAAGTGCCATGATGTAAGTGCCATGAAAGAAAAATTGCTCCACTCTAGTGCTTTTGATATTTTATATCTTTTTTGTGCATCTTGCATTATTTTTTTAGCTTATATATATATTCATATCCATCTATTTGTAAACTTTTGATAATTTGCTTACTTTACTAATAAAAAAAGATATTTCGAAGACTGTGTCTATTATTTTTTGTTAAAATTGACAGATTATGAGATTGTAATGTGCTGCACAATAGTAACACTTAACCTGCAGGTATTGCCTTGGCCACAGATTCAGGCCATCCTGTACATCCATGTACTTAGACCAAACTCTGAGCGTTGGCAACTCATTTTTAGCTCAACCAAACCTATTTTCAAAGAAGAATGTCAAGCTATTGCCGTTGACATTGTCGAAGCTGTAGTGTTTGCTTTCCAAAAACTAAAATTGTTTTTTTTTAATTTTATTTCTCAATGGATTGAGAATCCTTTGGAAAAGACAATAAAAAAGAAAATTATACAGAACTTGACCTTTATTTAAAATGATATTGATGTTTAATGTCAAATAATGGAGTTTGGATTGATTTTTGCTATAACTGGATACAACAGTTTGGACAAAACATTCAAGAAAAACAAACTGACCTTTACCATGATTCATAAATGACATTGACCTTGAAGTTCAAATTACTAGTATTGAATTGCTATAACATGCTGAGTTTGTTATTTACTTGCCGTGTCCAAATTCATACTAGGACAAAACAACACTTGTGACCAAACCAACACAATGAAAATAATTCAAATATGACATTGACCTTGAAATGACCTTGATCATCAAGATCAATAATTTTGCTCGGACTGTTATACTTTTAAATTTTTCATTGGAGGAGTTGATTTGTTCAAGGTCAAAACAGCACTTTCGACCGAGTCATCATGGTGAATAATTCAAATATGACTTGACCTTTAAATGACCTTTACTGTCAAGATTGATTTTTTATTCTTATTTATTTGAATTGGCATAATTCCACAATAACGACATTTATTTAATGGTTGTGATGGTTCCATCACATATGCGAGAGCTTTTTAACATTGCCGATGGCGCCAGCACCTTTCACATTTGTATGAATGTTAATATTTTATAACCAAGCTCTGTAAAATTTTCTTTGTGTTGAGCCAAAAGGGAAGGCTGGATCATGTTCCATGCACGATAAAGTTGGCAAACATTTAAAGCCAGCACAACCAGTTAATAAATGTCGATATTGTGGAATTATGCCAATTGATATTCATGGACAGACTAAAACTGAATCCCCAAATTAATTGTGATATATCTGATCTGATATATCGCTTTTTAACAGGTCCTGTAAAAGTATAAATGTGTCATTTTCAATATCTTCTTTTTTACGTTTTGATGACTTTCAAGTGAAATTATTTAATGGTTAAGGGCGGGGTGAGGGTGGGGTCTCATTTATAGGAAAAACCGATGAACTTATTTATCTGAATTGCGCTGATATGTGTCGTAATTTAGGGTGATGAAATGTTAAAATGTTTGGTTTGGTTTAGTAATGACCATTATCATAATATTGATTTTAACTTAAGATTGAAAAATACTTGAAATGCGGAATCACAACACTTACTTGTGGGATTGATGCCTTAAAAATTAAAGTTTTTTGTTAATACTCGTGTACACGATATGTATAGGATATCGGCCTCGTACATCGATCTTTATGTTAAATAAAGGCCTGGTCACGAATTTCGCGACATATGAAATTCGTAGACATATGAAATTCGTAGGTCCTAACAGAAAGACCTCGTACTCGGTCGATATCCTATACTTACTTTATATCTAATACCATCCCGGATCCCGGCTTTTCTAAAGGCGATCCCATTTTAAGGTTTTCCAACGTTAAGACTATTTATTTTTGCCAAAATATTTTCTTTAATCTAGATCATTTGAACTGCCTTTTTGAAACTTGGTCTTTGGATGCCTATCTTTTTATCGGTTATTGTCGTTGTGGCGAGTGGAAAATTTAATATTTGATTCAATGTTCATTGATTTTACTGTAATTTTTAAACTGTGTTGCATTGTGTTGGCGAAATTTACTTCCTTATAATCGCCACAGGTAATCATTTCATGATGGTAAGTCCTTATCAACTCATGCAATTGTGTCTATTTATGAATGTTCCACAATATCGACACTAATCAACACTGGTTTCATAAAATATGCGATTGTCCTTGTCGCCAGCACCTCGTCGATCGCATGATGACTTTCGAATAAGTGTAAGTCTTTAATTTATAAGCAAGCCCTTTGAACTAGTTTTTTAAGTTGAGCCAAAGGTAAGGTTACAGTACGATAAGGTGAGTCACCTTTAATTTCATATTTGATGCGTCTCCTCGTGAGATGATATTTGGTTAAAGTTCTAGCAAAGTCATTTTTGGGTATTTCGTATCGAAATTGCATCCAAAATGACGAGAGAAAAATTAATGTTCTAAGTGGCATATCATTCTTCGATCTTTGAAATACAAGTACATGTATATTAAAAAACGGATATTTTTAGAAACTGTGTTTACCTTTTTCAGTTTTATTTTAGTTGAGGGCTCTACAACTGAAGTTTCAAAGGAGACCACTTTCATGTGAAAGAGCCAACGTTTAGTGGTGATTTCTTTTTTTTGTATTTTCAGAAACCTACAACGTAACACTGTGCAGAGATAAATGACCTGATGAAGTTAGATAAAAAATATATATTTTCAACTTTCTTAAAATAAAGACATAAATATCATAAAAAATCAGGTTTCACGGTAAATAGTTCTTTTGTCATTTTAATGTCACAGATTGATTATTCTGATCAGAAATGAAGGATCATTATTATACTAAAGTGTAATGACGTTCACGGTCATATATGAGTAATAAGTAATAAGATTACAATTTGTGAGATATATTCCTATGGTGATATTTTGTCTTGCAAACGTCATTAGGTGACATGAAAGTTGAGATAACGGTTTACGTGTTAGATCTTGTGAAATGTATAAAGAAAAGATAAACGTCGTATCTTGCCAATTCATTATCAGTGCCATGTCCTCATACATGTATTTGATATAAATGAATAACATGTTTGAGCAAATTCGTAAGTTAAATTTTTATTTCATATGTTTTCGTCATTTTATTGTCAAAATGTATTTCAGATGAATATAATTATAATAATTTGCGTAAAAGTTATAATAATAATATAAAATATTTTCTATTTCAATATCTTTAAAGCGGATACTGACCCTTATTATCATAAAGCGAGTTGGCTTGAACCAATCTTTATACTGTGACAGGACAGGTACATGTATTAAGGCCAAATGTTCAAAGACACTGCTTATAAAGTTTTGAAAGGCAGAAGTAATTACGAGCCGTCATGTTGTTATGATTTCAAATAGTGGGGTACAAATGGACAAAACTTTTTTGAGTCTGAATGAGGGAAGCATTACGAAAAACGTTGAATAAAGACGTGGGTAAATTTTGGTTTATCACAACGGTAACCGACATAAATATAAGTCGATAATAAGCAAATTATAAGGGATCGTTAGCATTATCTTTGAAATTAGCAATTTTCCAATTTTACGACTATATTTAGTATTAACAATATAGTATTTAATATATAGAGGCTATAAAATGGCAATATTATAAGATATCAGATCATATTATGCGAGTCTATAGCTATGTTTGTATCACGGCCGTGCAATACCATTCAATATCCTCTATTAAATGAGCCGCGTCACGACAAAACCAACATAGTGCGTTTGCGACCAGCTTGGATCCAGACCAGCCTGCGCATCCGCGCAGTCTGATCAGGATCCATGCTGTTCGCTTACCAACTCTATTACAAGCAGAGAAACTGATAGCGAACAGCATGGATCCTGATCAGACTGCGCGGATGCGCAGGCTGGTCTTGATTCATGCTGGTCGCAAACCCATTATGTTGGTTTTGTCGTGTTACGGCTCAAATTAATTTGACGTTTTTGTTTTCAGGGAAACTTGTTTTAGCTGTGGTAATTGTCCATTGTGTGGATAGCTTTGGGTAAACATTTTTTTCAGAGAAATTTAAAATTTAATAGAATACTCGGCTTTTTTTGTAAATGGACACAGATAATTTATTCAACATTTTCATTAGACTCGAACATTTCTTTGACAAAGAAAATTAGTTTGAAACAATATTCTAATATTTTGGTTTTATATTTTTTGAACTGCTGAATTTTCTTTTGGGCTTGCTATACTTCTATTTTTGCAACCATCCAGTTTGATTATTTTTGGAAGTTAAAATGAAATTGATTAAGTTAAAGGGACTCCTATGAGGATTTCAAAGAATATCAAAATTTTCTCACAAATCGGGTCAAGAATATCATATTTTTTAAATACGATTTTCAATTTATTCATGCGTATACTTCTTAATCATCTTTTGCATATCTTTCGGTTTAAGTACCCCAGCTGATCTGTATAAGATATTAAAATTTTATGTTTTTTAAGCTTTTATACATCAGTGGAGTTCCTTTAAGTCAACCTAATTATCCTAGGTCCAAGAAGGTTAAGGATAAAGCATAGTAATCACTACATTCTTTTTATTTAGTACGAATACGACATATATTATAACAGTAAGAAACACAACAATAACAGCAGCAACAACAACAACAATAGCTAACACAAAAAGTACAACAGACATATCAGGTGTGTATTTTCTTGAAACATGTACAATCCATGTAAGCTTAGTAGATTGTTTCCTGCAAAACATAATTAAAGAACACACTATTTGTTAGAAATGAAATTTCCTTTTCAAATATTGGCTTAAAGACCTATTATGTCGTTGGAATGCTTTTACTTTTAATTCTCCAAAGCTTTTTATTTTTTGGTTTACCTTTGAATACTTTCCAGGAAGGCACACTTTAAGACCATTTGCGTTTTTTTTCCATTTTGTGCAGTTATATAGTGATTTATTTTTTGTATGGGGTCAAAATTCTTCTTTGTTTACATTTTTCTAATTTTATGACAACTCATTTAACTTTAAAAGGCTACTTTCTTCAGGGAACAAACATATATGTGCTTTTAAAATAGTATTTGAAGGTCATAAAACTTATGTTTGCCCTTTCTAAAGAAGTTAATATTCATTCATTTCTTAAACATAATGTGCCTTTAGATATAAAAAAAATATCTGTAAAGCAAATCACATTTTTCTGTTGGTTATCTTTTGATACGTTGCTCGAAAGAATACATATAGATGCTTTTCCACATACCATGTACTACCTCCCCTGACTGCATTTTGCGGATAATTCCAAGAATATTCATATGCTTTCACAATTCTATCATATTCAATCTTTCAAATATTGGTTAATATAAAATAAATGTATAAAATAATTAGAAAAAAAAAACCAACAAACTTCACTTTGACTTCCTGTGAAATTTACAGGGGAGAAATGAATTCCATTGGTCATATTGAAATTACAAATGAAATTTGGGAATCTCATTGGCCATTCTAAAATAAAATGTAAAGAATAGTTTTTGTCATTCTATATACATGTAATTAAAATGTAAAGGACAGTTCTTGCCATTATGAAATAAAATGTAAGGGTAGTTTTGAAATTAAATGTACATGATAGTTATCTAACTTTGTAGATGTCCAGTTGATATAATGTTAAATATTTTTATATATTTTTGTTAACTTCGACGGAGTATCTTTTTAAAAGACACTTCTTGTTTTCTATCTATTTACCTTTAAAGAATGGGTTGAATTATCCGATAGTATACACCAAAGACTTATATTACAGATAAATTTAGCTATGGGGTAACAACTGGTTACAAAATATTGAACCGCTATTTTTTTTTTTTGATATTTAGTTATTTTCTCATCTTTTACCAGAAATTTGGCCGTCAGGACATATCGCTTTGGATACAATTCACATTTTTGTTTTTTACTCAGTTGAAATTTGGGGACGAGTTCAATGAAGCCAGGTAGAAAGCTGAAAAGCGGCTTGGTTTTTCATTCGCACAAAGGTAGTGGGCACATTTTCCACTCCCACCTACACGAAATAACAAAAAACAAATCAAGATTATCATGTTTATGTAAGCTTGCAGGTTGAACTCAAGATAAAGGGACACTATTCACGGACGACAACAGGAAAATAAGGGGTAAAAAACTATTATTTGACTTTATATTTCAGCGATAAATGCATGCAGTTCAAACCCATGCGTTAGAGGTATCTGCTACCACTCGCACACAACACAATATCATTGTGAATGTCCTAAAGGGTACTTTGGTAAAAATTGTGAAATAGGTGAGAAGGAATTACTCATATTTGATAATATATGTTCTTGAACATTTACAGTTACTTGCATGTTCTTTTACCATTGAATATGACCAATAAAAATTAATTCATTAAAGTCATTTTAATTCATGTGTGAATGCTAAGTATGAATTGTGAAACATGTTTTTTTTCTATATTAACATGCATTCAACCGAATCGGATTAAGCAATGTTAATAAGCCATTTCAAAGTTTAGTTTGACTACTTCCCTTATATACATTATAGTTTTTGTTGTTGTATGTAAAGTAAAGTCCAACCGACATACATTTACTGATGACGTCTCCGTGGAAAATTTCATGTCATGATTTATGAGTGTAACATAAATATCGAATTTCTATGGTGGCTGATTTGATTGTCGTATTTTCATGTTTTCCTATGGCGCCCCGCGGAGCGAAAATACGACATTGCGTAAAATAATCAGCCACCATCGAATTTTAGATTGCTACCTGAAATCTTCCTCGAAAGAAAAAACAATAAAACAATTGGGATTCGGATTCATGGCAGTGAGAGGGCAAGTGAGCTACATTAACCACTCGACAACCGAGCCCTCTCTGACCTATCTCTGACCACAGAGGAGATTGTCGGTCAGTGATAACAATAAACATAAACTTTCATTATTTAAACACCTTTTGATCATTATATAGATGACAACGAATGTATCTCAGAGCCATGTCAGAACGGCGGAAGTTGTATCGATGGTGTCGGAACCTTCTTGTGTCAGTGTAGACCAGGATTTACGGGAGATTTATGCCAGAGAGGTAGTCTTTTTTTTTTAATTAAAACTCAAATGAAAAAAAAAAAATATTTTCATTATATTTAAAACAAATCTGATTGGATAATTTATCAAAGTTTGATTTAACCATAATGCTTTGAAGTTACTGGCATCAATGACGTCAAAATGTTTACGTTACAACCGAACCAATTTCGGCTATTATTCATAATTATAATAACCTTATCCGAATGGGCAGGTATACATACATAATAATTTTATATCCATGCGCGAGTGCGTATATCTGACTTCTGGAAGCGATTTTTTAAAAATTAATTTGATGTTTGGGATAAGAAAATATCCGATTTAAAATATGTCAAGGTACAAATAAAGACAAAACAAACAAAAATTGTGTATTTTTTTCTATTTCATAAGAATTTTTACTTATATCTTTGATTTTATTACACAGCCTTAGAAAAATGATAAATATAGAGAGAATTCTTAATAGAGTAGTCGCGCAGTCTGATCAGGATCCATGCTGTTCGCTATCAGTTTCTCTACTTGTAATAGGGCTTGTAAGCGAACAGCATGGATCCTGATCAGACTGCGCGGATGCGCAGGCTGGTCTGGATCCATGCTGGTCGCAAACGCATTACATTGGTTTTGTCGTGACGCGGCTTATATTATGTGTGTTACGTTTATTTTGTTGACATGTCATACATTATTACCAGACGTCAATGAATGCTCACGGTTCATCACTCCATGTTTCAATGGCGGCACCTGTGTGAATGGAATTGGTAAAATGTCTTGTCAGTGCCCTATTGGTTTCGTTGGCGAAAGATGCCAGGATGGTAATTTACCAAGTTGTTTTAACCTTATCAGCAAATGACCTGATGTAAAAACTATATATATATATATGAAAATTAAATCTCATATTGATCATTCCTTTTCTTTGAAAATCAACAACTCATAAGGAAGAACGGCTTCGCGATTAATGTCTAATATCCAAGTTTGGTTATCGTTGCCTATTTCTTTCGCTTTAAATGTTTATATTATTATATCCTAAAATTGTTCAAAATTTAAACAAATTATTAAACACATTTTTCATTCTGCCTATGTGTTTATGTAATTGTAGCATACATGTTTATTCTAAGGGGGTTATAAAAAAAAACAAGAACACCATCAAACAAACATGATAAGTTCCATTGGGACTGGAATGTCAAATAATCCAAATTTCCTAACTGAATTTTAACGTGTTTTTCCATAATTGTAAGTATTGTAATATGAATTTTGACTAAGTATACAACGTGCAAAGGCGCAAATAATAATAATAATAATAATAATAATAATGATAATAAAAAATGATAATAATAATAATAATAAATAATAATAATAATAATAACAATAATAATAATAATAAAACATGTAATAATAATAAATAAAAAAGAAAACAAAGAAAAATACAAAATCGAAAAAAAAATGAAATTGTTCACTTTAAAAAATGTTCACTTTTTGTTTCTATTTTGTAGCAATGGATCCTTGCATACATAGTCCTTGCGTACGTGGATCATGTTTCTCACATAAATCCCAATTTGTCTGCGAGTGTCCATCCGGGTACGACGGAAAGTTGTGTGAAACTAAACAGTGTAAGTGTGCTAGTATCATTTCATGTAAGGTACCAACTAAAAACGCAAAACATACACCATTTAATTAATCCCAAAACTGTATCCAGTATAAGAAACGTGATATCCATATATTTGGTAACAACAACAATACTTAGCTTTTAGTCGCATAAAACAGTGCAAAAAAAAACAACAACGACATCAAAATAATAATAATAATTATAATATTATTATAATAATTATTATTATAATTATTATTATTATTATCATTATTATTATTATTTTTATTATTATTGTTGTTGTTGTTATTATTATTATTAATTTTATTATTATTATTATTATTATTATTATTATTATTATATTTATTATTATTATTATTATAATTATATTCAATTTGATACTACTACTACTACTTAAAATTATAATAATGATGTTCAATTACAAGAAAAAAACAAAACAAAAAAACAACAAACAAACAAAACAAACACTAAAAACAACACATCATCACCAAAATGTAAAAAAACAACAACAAAAACAACAACAACAACAAAAACACATAAACATAGTCCTCAGACAGTGGAAAATTGTAACGTCTTATAAGGTATCGTAATCTATGATTTTTTTTCTACAGAAATATAAGTACAAAACACTATAAGGAAAACGTAAGCAAGAAGCCATTATAAAATTGTCGCTTTTTAAATAAACCGGTGATTATTTGTTTCAGTATACATGTGTATATAGTATATTAAATGAATGAATGAGTTAATACTGCATTTATTGAGCGAGTGGAATACAATCATATTGTGTCAGCCTCTGCGTGCGTAATATTGTCTTAAGTAACGTAAACATTTGTTTTCGTATTTAGTAACGGTATTTATTCTTTCTGTACCATATACGATACACTTTTTTCATATTCATAACATTTTACAAACGTTTACATATATTATTTGTTCTTTCCAAATGAAGATTTATCAGTTTTATAAGTTTCAATAATCATTATTTGAAAATTGTAAAGATATTACCGAATTTACATTTCATGTTAATAAAGGGAGGTAATTAGAAATTTATTTTCTATAAAGTCAAATTTTTCAATAAGAAATGAATGCGTGTATTTTAATTATTACATATATTAATGTGTACAAATATTTGCAGTACATATTTTACATATTCTTCGATGTTTGAAAATTGTTTTAGAATCATAATTATATAGATCTACATATATAAAATTTCACTTAAATGTGGTAACGACCTTAGGTACAACATACATATCCTCAATTGTTTAAACTTTTTTTTGCGCACATATTGATATAAAATTTGTTACGTTTCAGTAGCGTTAATCATTATATTGTGGTCGGAGTTGTAAATGGCCTATAACATAACCTGAAAAAGAGTTTCATTTCTCTAATTTCAGCAAAACAAACCATAGTGGGCCCCAGAGAGGAATTTATCAAAATACCGTTGGCTGATCCATTAAATTTGAACTGCAGTGTTTCGGACAGTACTAATAGTTACAACACAGTATTTCAATGGCGAAAATCTAGAGGATGCTATCAGCTTCACGCTAATGACAATAATAATTTTTGGAACAGAGTCAGAGGTATGTTTGTATGTTTATCTTCTTTTGTTTATAATGACGTCATAATTTTATCAATAATTTTTTTTATGCATATAATTATAGTGACGTCATCATTACTTTTTCATATAATTATGACATATATATAATGCCCTTTTTGCATTGAGCATTGCGTTCTATTCTTTTTCTATTTTTGAATTACATTTGTTACAATCTGATGAACTTAAGAAAAAAAATATCGAATGGGAACTTCATAAAAATCGCACATATTTATCCAGGCAGTTTTTCAGCCGAAATCAGAAGAGACCGGGGTTGGATAAAACTTTTATCGACACCGGTTCTAAACAAGTTACAAAGAGTTACATTATATTCCGCTAAAAATCGAATTTTACATCTTCACCTGACAGAACATTCTTGAAAGGTCTGATTGCTTCAGTCAAGCTTTTATATCCGAAACTATTAAACCATACAGTAACCTAAACAAACTTAACAAAAATACGCAAAATTAATTCCAATTCGGATCCCAAACACATTCAATTTTGAACGCACTTTATAATTGCATTAGTTAAAAGGGATTAGTGGGTTTAATTATAACTAAAGATAAAGAACAAATAAGAATTAAAAAAAACCATCCTAGATCAAAAATTTTCATTTTGAACTTCCCTTTTCATTCAAAACCCATGTATTTTTTTTTTTGCCATGTTACAGGACATAAGGTCTGCCCGGTATACCTATAAGCAATTTTTTTACAATCTGTACCAATATGTCAAACCCTTGACTCTGTCCATCAAAACCAGTTATTTCAGTGTGAGCAGTGTTCTTTCTAATCCTATTAAATGTTTCAGGAATTAACAACAGGCTACTATATACTATATAGCTCTATGCAGTTATTTGAAACCTTCTAGTTTCATGAATATGGAGACTATTTACACTCAATAACTATCTTTAACATGTTTAAAGTGAATGGCCAGTTTTTACACCTATAAAGTACAAATGTACCTACGGAACAGTGACCTAGCAAATAGTTAATATGTCTTTCTCAACCAACAGTCCATGGGGTTTGGGTCTTACTTGGTTAACAACCATGATTAACATCTATGTTCCCTCATTTGACACTGGTAACTTCCAGGAAGCTCACTTGTGAGTTAAAGTTTTATTCACACTAATGCTTAGTAATTTAATAGTAAACAAAATCTGTTTATGGGCATGGGGTTGAAACTAAAACATTCCGGCAGGCAACATCAGAGTCATGTGTCCCAGTCTTAGAAGTAAAAATATGTCCAGCCTAATTAAGAAGAACGGTTAACCGGAAGTGGAAAAATAATGTCTACTTTTGGTGCATGATAATGGCCATTGTAAAATATTTTTTTAACACACAATTTCACATGTAATATCTTAAAACCTTAAGGCCTGACTTTTGAGAACTTTTCCTGGGATAACGATAATTAAAAACTACTTTTTCCATACCAGGAAGTTTCTATTGGAGTAAGTTTGCGGCAAAAAAATAAGGAATACTAGCCTAAATGTATTATTCTATATAGTAAATATTAGTATTTGAAATCATATTTAAAAATACACATGCCCTTAGAATTATCCTATCAATAGCCAACAAACTTGTGGGTTTTCTTATTTCAGAGCATTATTCCACATACCAGTTGCCGCATGCAGGTATAGGGGCAGCGGGAACGTATATTTGTACAGTGGAACAGATGAAGAAGTATTTCCATGTTGACATCGCATGTGAGTATGAGGTGTAGTCCTGAATTAATGATATACATGTATATTTTTGTGTGTGCAGTTTTCAGATGCAAGGATGGAACGACCATATTTTGATTTGATAAAGGAGAGTTTTTTTCACATTATGATATTGATTTATTACATGCAGTGAAATAAAATGTTTTAACTTCTCGGTGAATTTACTAATTAAAATTTCATTTTCACAGAAGCCGGACTATATCTAAATGCGGATGAAAAGAATATCGTATCGTTTTATTCAGGGAAACATATACAATATTGATTTGAAACTTAATTTAAGTGGAAATAGCGTCAGAAATACACTCCCTCCGTCATCGGTAAAATGTGCTAGATTTTGAGAAATCACATGGATATCTGCACATACAACATTTTAAAAATGTGACATATTCGTAATAGTATGTGACGTCATGCGCGGTAAATTCAGTAAAACTGACTTTAAACTGTAAACTATTTCAAGTTTTGTTTTATCAAGTTACTATTAAATATTTAATCTATGAAGATAAACAGAATATTTGAGTTTTGAGATATTGTCTTGATCCTGATCGAACAGGCCGGAGCCAGGTGCTTGCTTTCACAATAAATAGATGATATTAAAGTTTTTTTTTCTATAAATACAAGTTCTGTTTATTTTCTACATTTTTCTTCTTTTTTTCTGATTTTTTGAAAGACTTCCCCTAAACTTTGTGTTTTAGCTGAACTTAGAAGAAAGAAGTCCGACAAGACACCAGTGAAAATACGGAAAATATGTTTCACTGCAGTAAAAAAAAATTTCAATGAAAATACGGAAAATGGAAATACGTATTTTTATTTCATCAATATTTCTCAATATTTCATTCATAAGTATACAATAAACACTACATAGAATTGTATGTACGCATAATAAATAAGACTGACCAATAAATTTGCCCTACACAATTATGATAATGTGTTAGTAAATAACAGGTACTTGTGTTTATAATATGCACTGAATAATAAAGAATCGCAATAAATGTTATGTACAGTGATTCCATATTAAACTATTTCCACTGAAAATACAGTAGCATAGCATAGTTTATATGACATCACGCAGACTGGTTTTTCCTTTAAGGAAATGTTTTTTCGAGTGAGAACTAAAAAATATCAAATTATATAATTAATAGATAATCCATTTTTTTCTCATGAAAAAATCAAGAATGCTGCAATTTTTTTACTTTTTTTTCTGTTTATTTCCATTGCTTTCAAAAAATCTCCCATTTTGTTTTTAGATTTATCCTTACTAGTTTGTTCTACATATTTCAGGGTGTTCAGAGATATGTACGTTTGAAGATCGTGCTTTATGTAAATGGGACGATACCGGATCTTATATTTCATGGCGGGAAGAGCATGGACGACTTGATGATCATTCCCTGGGAACTAGTAAGTACATCTCTGCATGGACATTAATCATATAAATGTATACTTAGTTACAAAAATCACACTGGCCATAGCTTTCGTAGAATCGGTGGGTTTAGTCGTCGCAGAACATAAAACGCACAAATAAGCACTTTTTTCTAAGGTCAAATTAGATAAAGGTTGTACTCGGTTGAAATGTGCGTTATATGTCAAGTTAAACCCTTAAAATTGACATGAATGCTATCGGGCCCACTGCACTGCGTTGCAATCAAATCCACCGCCATTTGCGTTGTAATCATTTTTGTCTCTACTTTTTAAAGAAGGCAATAACAATTTCTTAAAAGTTTCCCAATATATGTTGTTTCATTAATACGATGCGATGCCAGTGTTTTAGTTGGTCGTTTTTTTGCACACATTTGTGGGTAATTTTTAACCAACATTCGGCTAAAGTGACATCCCCCGTCCCAACTGTACAGAAGTTGTGCATAAATGACAATGAATTAACACTGTTGGCGTTATGTAATAAAGTTGGAAAGAGCTACATATGTTGGGCATCTTAGTCTCACTATGTGTCCAGTAAAAATAAAGTAAAATTCAGTCATCAACTTAACCAGACAACAGCAAAGGCCATATTTTATCCACATTTTATTCTGCGACGAATACTCCACCGCCGCTGCGATGGGCCCACCACTTCTGCAAAAGCTATGACCAATGTGAAAATAGTGGAATCAATATGTTATTACTTAAGCAACAAGACGTTCAGCTCATATAAATTTCAATTGTCAACAAATCACGCCACAAGTTAAAAGGGGCGCCCTTTACCGAGTGGTTAAGGTTAATGATCTAAATCACCTGCCCCTCACTGTTGTGGGTTTAAATCCCGTCAGAGACTTTTGGCTTTTCCGTTGTGACTTGACATTCAACAAGACAAAACAAACAAACATCATATCAACATTAAAAGCAACAATATTTTTAATGTTTATATCTTTTTTTTAAAGCCAGTTGTAATAAGAATATAAAGGCAGTAACAATTAACCGCAAATATGAGAACCATCATATTGTTTAAATCTGTTTACACAAATACAGATATGATAAAAATAAAATGAACTGCATAAAAATGCTGTCAAACCAACAATGAAAAGGCGCAAACATTTTTATCTCCAGAAAGTGGTACATATATGACAGTACAATCGGACACTCCTGGGACAAATGACGCAAGCGCTTATCTGACGTCAGACAATTTACCAGCCAATCAAACAATTTGTTTTGAATTTTGGTACCGGATATCCTTTAATGGTTCTGGAGCATTGTTGATGTATCTTCAGGTATATATCTTTTTTTATCTTTAGTTAAAATACAACTCTCCAGCTTTTATTGAAAGAGGATGCGGTCGTATGTGTGCAACAATTATACATACATGTAGGAGGACATCCGACCTGTCATAACTGTTATAGATAAGTTCCCTGATGCCTTCTTGACTAGCTACCAACTCTCCATGGAAAACGGCTATTGACCTTAACTGAGTATGCACATTGCAAAGCACAAACATGGAACACAATTAACCCTGTCTGTTTTACAATTCCAATCTCTACTAGTTTAAAAACATTCATTTTAGATTAGCGGCAAAGAAACGTATTGTCTTTTTTGAACGTCTATTACTCGTGTGAAATGATGAAACAGAGGTCAAGGTCCAAAATAGCTCAAAACAATTCACGAAACTTGGGATCAAATGCAATGTCTTTATAACACGAAAACGCCTAAATACATGTACAACACACGAAATGAGTTTGTTCTTTTTTGAATTATTATCACGTTATAATGTACACAATCGACTCAAGCAGATCATCGCCATAAATCCGGATTGATGTAATGGATGTATGTAAGTCATTCGTTGGAAATGACTGCATTTTCATATTGTAACTTATTAGCATACATATATGGAATAAATAATAGACATAATATATGTCGTTTAAGAGATAAAATGTTAAATTAGAAAAAATACATTGCATGTTTCACCAATTTATCTAAACGATTAATGCTTAGCTATTTGTGTCATACTTATTTAGTAAATTTTCAAATGACCCTATGTCTCTTTCCAGGATTTCATGCCTACACACACAAGCACAGAGATGTTTAAGGCAATGGATAACACAAATGGACAAATGGGTTAAAGCTGATATTACTATTTCCCGTGATCTAATACCAAATGATTATAATATTGTCCTTTCTGTAGACAGACGGCGGTCATTTCAAGGTTCTAGTTGACGTAGACGATCTTAAATTCAGCAATGTTCACTGTCAAGGTAAGTTTACTGAATATCGTTTTAGGAAATATTTGTATCATAAAGTCCTTAAACAGTCGGAATACATTTTGTCACATTTCTGTGTTGTACATTTCCTCGGTATTATTACATTTTGAGGATGATCCTCAAGTAAGGCGCCATTTTGTAGATAATGACGTCATAATAGTAAACTTCCGCTCTCGTGACATATCTCCCAAAAACCTTTCCGGATGTATAACGATATTATCCGTAATATGACGATATTTACCGATTCTTTAACATTCGTTATCCTTATAAAGTAATTCACCATCGTTCAGAAACTATTTTGTTTTATAAAAAGAACTGTTTATGTTGTATCAGCAAGGCTTTTTTTTAGCAAGCCTTGCTCATACAACATGATAGTTCCGTGTAAACAGTTTTAAATTAACTTATTTCTATATAAACCTATTATTTAGAGATATTTTAGCCGTTGTTTGTTAAAAACTGTTTTGCATATATAAAAGCAATATTTTTATATGTTTGAACCTCTGATTATATGTTTAGTATATGTAATTCCTTTTAGAATATTATAGTACATTTTTCATTTCTTTAATGCATTTATCAATATATATTAACGATCTTGATAAGAAAAAATAGCTATTAATTTGCTTAAAGTACGAGCCGTAGGCCTACATTTTTAAATTTAGATTTGTATTTTCAAAATTTGGTATATTCGCACTTAAGTCATACTGACGGACAGAAGGACAAATTGTTTTCCGAACATAACAAAGCAAAGGCAACACGGATTACTTTTACTTATGAATGATATAATTTATTGCAGGTGACCAAGGACTTCCGATTATTGGTAAGTATTGCATTGTACATGTTATTGTATTTTCGTTTTGTTCTCTATGATCTCCACAAGTGAGTAGAGGAGGAACTCCACTTAGGTCCAAAAACATGAAAACATGAAAAATTAATTTATTATGTAGATCAGCTTGGACACTTAAAACAGAAAAATATGCAAAAGATATTTTGGAACTATCCACAAAATAAAATGAAAATCTTACTTTTATGCTATGCTAAGCCCGATTTTAGAGAAATGCTTTGCAACGCTTTTAAATTTATGGTCATTTTGCACAATTATAATAATCATTCTAAAAAAAAACGGAATGAGCGAATAATCTGAAACTTTGCACATATGTTTTTACGATTTTAGTTTGAAATCCTTAAGTTACTTCGGACTCTTTCATGTGAGGAAGCTTTCGTGCTAGCTGATGTAATGTCTCTGGCTCTTATCATGTGTCCGACAGTGCCTGAAAAAATGCACAAAGGTGCACCTGAGGTCGTCATTAACCGGTAAAGCTGGAAACTCGCCATTTAAACAATGTTGATGTGACTTAATATCAAACAAACCAACCAATCAATTAAACAGTGACTATGAATTTCTCTATCACAAAATAATTAACCTGTTTATGTCCTTGTTTTTCAGGATGAGATTTTAGAAAGCGAACTGCATACGAAATTGGCATTTTATGTCTTGAAATCAATTCGTATAAAATAAACAGAGAACTTTTTAGTAGATCGTTCCTTATTGTATCATAGACTCTGATTCATAAGTAAATTAGATACTTTAAAGTAAGGACACAACAACAACAACATCTTATCATAAACATAAAAGCACTTATATTCTACTACATTGTATATTATTTAAGTACTGTAAAATAAAAAATGTAAATAAAAATGAAATCTTGAGTATTTAAAACGAAGATGTTCTAAATATAGTACATGCCAATACTCTAAGCTGTTCCCTAAGTGTCATGGTCGACATCAGCCGGTTTAATTGAATTTTTCTGAGTATGATATGCGATTTTACTGACAGTATTAATATTTCAATAGTCTAAATAGTCTAGTACGATGTTAAAATGATATTTTTATCGGATAATGCGCAAGAATTAAATAGGAAAAGGATATTTGCAAATTTAAACAAGGTTATACAAGCGTGTCTTATTCTGGTTAGGTTTCATATCAGGTCTGACCATTAACTTTAATGCCGCATCTGACGAAAGAAACAATATTAAAAAATAGGCTTGTAAAGTATTGAAAGCCAGAACTAATTCTTGTAAAGTATTGAAAGCCAGAACTAATTCTTGTAAAGTATTGGAAGCCAGAACTAATTCTTCATCACCTCCCATACTCTCCATCATGAGCATGATGACAATGTGCAAAACGATGTCCTCCTTTTGAAACCGGTTTTAGAAAGGTCTACAACACATTTCATGTTTCACTGATGAGATTACCGATGAAAATGGCACACTCACCGCACCGGTTACGCTACGGGGAGATCACTGCGTGGGAGATTCGTGAAAATGGATGTCTCTCTTTTTTACTATTCATGCAAACGATATTTAAGACGCGAAAAGAACTCTTTTGGATACAATCAGCTTAATTATGTGACTGTCAAAGTCTGTCAAGTTATGATACCTAGTGAACGTCGAAGAATTATAGTCTGAACGGAGAAAAAAAGGCGGCCATTTTATTCTTTAGAAAAAAAAACCATTGCCTGTGACTGTGTGTATTTCTCAGTGAGTAATGTTCCCTGTGTGGATGTTGCTACAGTAAAGTATAACTAGTAAGGAATGTACAATGTGTAAGTATTGCTAGTAAGTAATGTTCACTGTGTAAGTATAACTTGTAAGTGATATTCACTCTGTGTGTATATTTGAGTTACCGATGCTCCTTGTTTGAGTATTGCTAGTTAGAATTGTTCACTGTGCAAGTATTGCTAGATTAAGTTAGGAATGTTCACTTTGTAAGAATTGATAGCAAGTAATATTCACTGTGTGTATAACTAAGTGAGCAATGTTCCCTGTGTAAATATTGCTAGTAAATGTTCACAATGTAAGTATTGTCAGTAGGAATTGTTAACTGTGTAAATATTTATCGTAAGGAAGTATTGCTAGTAAGTAATATTCACAGTGTGTTTAAAACTTTGTTAGCAACATAGATCGCTACGTAAAAATGGTAATACACATAAAAAAGATCACATAACTTATTTTCCACTTTATAACTTTTATTTCAGTGGGAACTGTAAACTATAAAAACACTTTTGTAATTCGTTTCTTTCTTTTGTTTGGGTCGTTTTCTTGCCACAAAACATGCAAAAAGCAAACGGTTAGAATTGTCACGTATAAAACGTTACATGTATCATAAAAAGAGGAAATCGTTGGCGATAATATTTCCTTTTTCGCCTTTTACATTCAAGTTCCATATCTTTTGATAGTATAATTGTTTATCATACGAGTGCTATCCGATCTGCGTCATCATTTTCAAAAATTCGAGCCTTTATAGTATTTCTAATGCTAGCATAAGCTAGTAAGCCCTGTTTAGTAGTGATCAAACACACTAATATTACTATTGAACTATCAGCCAAAGCTATAAAATCTTAATTGTTCCTTTAGATTGGCTATTTTATGTTTACATGGAAGCGATCCGTAGTTTTGTAGATGGTTTTCTATATCACTTATGGATCTCTTTAGCACATATGGAACTCAAATGTATTTGAGCAGCGATTCCTTCATTTGCAGCCAAATCTCAATAAATGTTTAAATCATAATTTGTTTGTATATTATGCACCGGTCTGTGCTAAGTCCTCGTTACATTTCTGTATTTTGAGTCCATTTAGTGACATTTTCTTCATACGCATTGCATGCTTTGGACACACCAGAACCCACGACGGAAAGAAAATCTCGATGAAGACTGCATAGAAATTCAATACAAAAACCGGTAATTTAAAGGAGAGACAGGAGGGTAGAATCACATTTCGATTTTCTTAAAACATGGTTTATTTTTTGTATAACTATTTAAAAAGTTTTAAACTTACGCTATGATTGACCTAATTTCACTATCACATCTGGTGTTATTCTTCACATCTGGAGCAGCGGAAATTCACATATACAGTTTTTATCGATGCTCATTTTTGAGATACATATGGGGGTCCACCCCCGTGATTATTATATTTGCACTTTCACACAATAAACACTATCTACCTTGTTCTACATACACAATTCACACTATTTACTTAGTACTTATAACACAATGAACACTTTTTGTGCACTACTAACCAAATGAACACTTTTTACTTTGCGTTTCTAACACAATGATCACTATTTACCACAATGGACACTATTCACTATGTACTACTCACGCAATGAACACTATCAAATATGCTCAAAGAACACAATGAACACTTTTGACTAAGCACTACTTACACAATGAACACTTTTAACTAAGCACTACTTATACACAATGAACACTTTTAACTAAGCACTTCTTACACTATGAACATTATTACCTTAGTACTTTTAACACAATAAAACAATTAACTTTGCAATACTAACACAATGAGCACTATTGACTATGCAGTACTTTTTTCCGCCTTTTTTTCTCCATTCAGACTTTTATTCTTCGAAGTTCAGTAGGGGTCATTACTTGACAGACTTTGACAGTCACAGAATTAATCTGTTTGCAACCTAGAGTTCTTTTCGAGTCTTAAATATCGTTTGCATGAATAATTAAAAAGAGAAACATCCATTTTTCATAATCTCCCACGCAGTGATCTCTCCGTAGCGTAACCGGTGCGCGGAGTTTGACATTTTCATCGGAAATTATCACATGGAATATACATGTGTCCAAAAGGAGCAAGCAGGCTATCGAAGCATGCAACAAAGGTATAAATTGATTAATCTCATCAGTGAAACATGAAACGTGTTGTAGACATTCAGCATCTTCTTCATAATATTTATATTTAGTGTCCAGCTTTATTTGTCATCCATTGAAAACGCCGTAATTCTTAAAAATTCTGTTTGTAAGTTTTCATAGAAGAATAAAGGTCTGCTATATCAAATTTAATTCATAGTCGCCTAGTTATTCATAGAACCGCGTTCATAAAATAGTATTGACGTAATAAAGTGAATATTCTGAAACCAAATAAAGCTTGACACAAAGTATGTTATTATTCATCTGTAGCTGTTCTGCAGAAATTAGAAACATTCTCCTGTCGGCCCCATTGAAGTTTCTAATTTCTGCAGAACAGCACGGATGAATACTAACATATACCTAGAAGAACGAACTTAAAACAAGGCAATAATCAACAACAAAATATAATAATAATAATAATAATAATAATAAAATAACTATAGTCTACATGTTTTTGAAAAATTAATATGATTTATATTTTCGCAAATCTTATACATGTGTAATATACTGTATATATACAGTTACCTGTACGTTAGTTTGCAATAAGGTCATGTATAATATAATTTTGAACTTTTAAGAAAAAATGCATTTAATTTACATCAATTTTACTAAAGAATGATAATAATTATTTTAGGGTTCCAAGGGATTGTAGGTGAGTACGTATCGTACATATTTTTGTAGATTAAGATAGAAAATTATTTTGACTCTTCTCGAGTCCAATTCCTGGAACTAACCAGTACTGGGCCCGAAGTAATACAGATTTTCCAAAACTCGAACTCATATCTCAAGTGTTCGATTGTTTAGAAACAAACATAAAATCTGTGTGGGCCAATGAATTTTGCGAGAACTCACTCAGAAAAAAGTTGTTTAACCTCCAGATCTGGTGTCATTTAAAAAAAAAACATAGTCTACGTAATCTGTAAGTACGTCAAAGTAGAGACCTTAAACTTCACTAGCCTTCTTTCGACTATTTTTGATTGGGATTGACTTTACACCGGCACAGTTATGGTTGTTTGGAGGACCTCAGATTATTTCAGGCACAAATTTGAACCAAAGTAGAACCACTGACGTGCCGTAAGCTAGCCGAAATATCCTCCACATATGAAATTAACTAATTTCCCTGACGGGATTCGAACCTACAGTGGTGAGGAGGAAGATGTTTGAAGTCAACGGGTAAGGCCAAGTTTCGTGTTTTTAAATGAAATAAAAATATTGGCAAAAAAGTATAAAAACAGTCATGGGTAAGATAGTAACATATACATGTAATGTTGCAAAAACGATTTTTTCCTAAACGATCTGTGCTAAGAGTAATATAAAAAGTATTCTACTGTTGTGTTATACGTTTTTACGAGGGTTATATACCAACATATATAAGGTATTATTTGTTCATATATCTTATGTATTAAGTCGTTATATATCCCCTGCTTGCGCACATTGAATATAACAAATTGACAGAAGTACAGTGTACAGGGGATAACATAAGATAGCTGAGCTAATAATACATTATACATAAATTTTATGTCATTTTATGTATATGGTTTTTATTTTTTCATATGCCTGATGTATTAAGTCGTTATATATCCACTGCTTGCGCACATTGAACATAACAAATTGACCAAAGTACAATGTACAGGGGAAAGCAAAGCCATTTAGTAGCACCTTAAAGGGAAAATTAAGTTGTTCTAATTGTTCTTTTATTTGACTAAGAAGTACCGCCGACTCTCCGTGAAATGTTTGTATGAAATAATCCAAAGTTCAAATCAGAATGTGAACAAATGGCAGCTTTCGATTGTCAAATCTTACTCACGACTATGGTGCAAA